CCCTCATGCTGTATGCCGGCCAAGCATGGATTCCCTTCGTCAGGGTCTGAGAACCTCAATCACGGATCAGGAGCAACAGCAGCAGGGATAGGTTACGTGGAGTGAAAGGCGCTGATCAAACATAGTATGGTGATTGGCAAGACTGAGACATTGAAGATTAAAAAGGGACGGACGAAAGCCATATCACGGTGCTAAAGGTCAAGAGCATATTGTATGGGCCCCCTGCCATAGTGGAAGGCACATGCACAGTCAGTGCTAACGCAAACACTGAGCTTGTGAGGCTATACCATGGTGAATACCATGTAGATGTCGTCAACATAAGTTTGCACAGAGGTGACAGATGGAACTACATCAAGTCCTTAGCAACAGGGGGTCTAAGGTCACAAAGGAATAAGGGAGGGGGGCGATGAGATTAGATAAGCTTGAGGCCAGTAGGACAGGACTTAGGAAGAGGGAACAAGAGCACGGATACAAGAAAGGGAGACAACACAACTCATTATGGGAGTTATAAGTGGACAGAAAGTGAGCAGGGTTTGAGCAGGGTTTGAGCATATGGTAGCACAGAGGAGAAAACCAACCTGAAGAAGGCAGGATAGGGTTTAGGAGGTAGGGCTTAAGGGCACTGATACAAACAATGGTCATCACAACTCACTATGGGGGGAAATAGGCAGATAGGAGATGCTGCAACAGGAGGGTTCTGGAAGGATGGGCACAAGGGGGCGGCCACAGCTGCCCCATATGCCCATGGTACCACAAATTGAACACAATAGATTTGCACAGTGGCCCTGACATCAATCTGGGGCCTTGATAACACGCAAAAGGTACTGAGAGACAATGCATACAGCAGCCAAAACAGCCATAGCGGTCTACAACTTACAAGGGTACTTAGAGCTACTAAGGGTACATACAATGGTGCACATAAGCAGGGCGCAGTTTGACTACATTGACTTGAACACTAAAAATGTACAGGGACGCTGGACCTGATTTCCAGCAGGTGATGCTCCCCACCAATAGATGGAGCCTTCAATACTGGGGCCTGCTTAAGGAGGATGCTCTTACCACCTCGTTAAGCAGGCCTCCAGGGGGTGTGAAGTTTCAACAACAACAACAACAAAAAAAAAAGAAAAAAAAAAAAGAAAGAAACAGGTAACCATGGCCGGAAGCCAAAGGCAAACAGGCCCCTGCTCAGCAAACTTGAGTTGAATGGTCTTCTTTATGCGTACCAAGAGGATGGAAAGGTCACATGTATGTTGGGGAGGGAGGGTGGAAGGGAGGGGAGGGGACCGGAGGGGAGGGGACCGGAGGGGAGGGGAGGGGAAGGGCATGCCAGCAGGTGTCGTTGATGGCGTTCTTTTTTGTTCTGTTTTTGTTTTGTTTTTTTAACTCACCTTCCAGATACCTTCTGCATGATCTGGTGTAATGGGTGTTTGTATTCCTGAGGATCTTCCGATGAGCCATCCTTCTGGATTGTGCGTGAGCTCTCGGTTCTCTTGTGAGGAGTCCTTTGAGTACTGCAAGAACTGCTGGCAGGCGAAGCGCAGCTTCGAGCCCGTTCAGTCGACCTTGCGCTTCGGGGGCTCTCGGGATTGTCTTGGCTCTTTGGTGATTTGTCATCATGGTTCTGATCAATGGTGGCTGTGATTCGGACATGATGAGCGATCTTTGAGCTTTGACGGTTAGGATCGATGGTCATTGGCTGGGGTGCCAGCAGCTTAGGGGGAATCTTCAGAGGTGTTATCTTGGGGATATTGACTGTCACATTTCTTCCCAATGCGAGCTGCGCCACCTGCTTTCTGGAGCTGGGTAGCTGAAGTTGAAGGACGCCGCTGCCATCATGGGACTGCGATGGAACTGCTTGCTTGCCCGCCTTTGCGGTCCCATCCACGTGCTCATGCAACCTCTTGCTCGACACTAATGTGCTATGGGGAGGAGGGCTCGGGCCAGACATTTCCGTCGCCGTCCTTTGCTTCGGCTGTCCTGTGTACTTGTCTGCAGGAACTTGTTGCTTTACCCATCCCAGATCGGAAACATCACGTGCTTTTGACTTGTCTTCAGCAACCGAACTTGTGGTCAGGATTCCTTTTGTGTTTGTGAGACCTTGTCTTGACCCTGGCCTTGGTTTTGCTTCCAGGAGTCACAAAGAAATCAGATTCTGTTCAGTTAAAACGTGGCAGATATGGTGGAATACGGATTTGGCTTTGCATGGCATAAACAGACCAAATGAACACAAATCACATAGTATTGGATGCACACTTATAAGTTATGACATCTCCACACATCATTGAATAGGGACGCTGGACCCGATTTCCAGTTGACACTCATCATATCATTGTGTAGGGAAAAAAAAATAATTTTGTAGGGACGCTGGACCTGATTTCCAGCAGGTGCTGCTCCCCACCAATAGATGGAGCCTTCAACGCTGGGGCCCACTTAACGAGGCTGCTCCTATCACCTCTCTAAGTGCTGTCTCTTATACACATCTAGATGTGTATAAGAGACACGGTATGGCCAAAAGCCGTGGTGTTTAAAATGCGGCGACAATGGTTTTGCAGCCAGAAGAAGTCACAAAGAAATCGGATTATGTTCAGTTAAACCACTGGTACGGCCGAAAGCTGCGGTGGTTAACAAGCCGCGACAATTATGAGCGAACAGGCCACTACAGGAGCGTCCAGATTCATCCAACTAGAAACGCGGCAATGATGAGCGAACAGGCCACTACGGGAGCGTCCAGATTCATCCAACTAGAAATGCTTCTGCTCTATTTTTTCCCCAGCCGATGTATGGGATAGGTACTGGTGGTTCAAAAAAAAAAGAAAGAAAAAGGGGCAAGTACGTTGGAGTCACACCCAATGTTCAGAATAGGCAACTTTAGCAGTAACTGCTCCCGAAACGGAGCAAAAAAGGCGACCCTAAATCTGACAAGCCCCACTGCGGGTAATGACTGGCTCAGTTTTAGACCCCCGCTAAACTCGCACATTTTGAAACTCACACCATGACACCCACACCACTTTGTCTTTTCTTAAAATTTATTCAATTTTATTGCCTATTTCAAACTAAAAGTGTGTCACATCCACAGTTCCCCCCCCCCCCCCCCACACACACCCACCCAAAAAAAAAAAAAAAAAGAGCAACGGCATCGGGATATCTTCATTGATCAGACCGGCCCCAGGTAATTCAGAATGATCTACTCCATTCACCAGGGTCCAGCAGAGTTTGAAGTCAGGTCTGTATTTCAACAGTTCATGGTTGTACCAACTGAGCTAGGCTCCTTGGTTTATGTTCAGATTTTTTTATTTTTGCTGCCAGCAAGAGCCACAAACAAAAATGCAGTTATGTTCAACTTTACCGAAGAACAAGAGTGGCCACATGGCCCATTACCGAAGCTGACTGTTATATGTCCAGAGTCTGACCTCTACAAAAAAAAAAAAAAAAAGAGTGGCTGATTCTTTGCAGTGAACTTCTTCTGTTTTTTTTTGTTTGTTTGTTTGTTTGTTTGTTTGTTTTTTTTT